GAAAAGTTTCCAAAAATTCTGAATAGTGGTGTACCAGGGGTTTTACGCGTACTGATTTCACTACACAACTTTCTAAACGTCTGTAGAGCTTTTAAATGGTGTGATCAATTTTAGGTAGCATTATAAGGACGGCTTGTTGAGTAAATAAGTAAAATTCGGAGCCGTGTTAGGCCCGGTGCAGACTTCACGCGACTTGATCGTCGCGACTGAATCGCGACGAGACAACTGTTACACTATCATTCCATGCCGATCAACTTGCATCCGGTTGTGATACTTTTCCAGCCCGAAATTTTTGAATGTGAAATGAAAATGAATGGAAGTCTTGGCGATTAGATCGCGACGATTAAGTCGCGTGAAGTTTGTCCGGGGCCTTAGATTCTCTGCGCACAACTGAACTGCAGATGAAGCACTTTGATTTCGACGTTGCGATTGCGTTTTTACAATTCTGACAACTTTTGCATAGGTACATCGTCATGCAAACAGAGTGTTCAACTTTTGACCAGAATTCGCTTGTTATAAATTGGGTTTTGTGGTTCAAAGCGTGCTTACAACTCTGATAAGGTTGAGGTTCGCTCATCAATAACAGCGACTACGCAAAAATGACTCGAGCGTCCTTCACCGCGTTTATTGCAAAGGCTCAACAAATTTTAATACCTTCAACAAAATTAAATATGTGCCTGGTAACTCAGGAAACTAGCAGTTTTTCAAAAGAATGTGACTTTTTAAGCATTTTAAAGCAAAAAAAAACAACATAGATTTTCTTTATGAAGGGAGACAAATCCCAGGTGTAACAAATGTTTCATATTTTGATGTTATAACCGTACAAAAACAAGTTCTAGGTTTGAAGAATGTAGTACCCTATTTTCAGGTGTATAAGCCGCACCCTTTTCGCTCTAAAGGGGAACACGCCAAAAGATTGATACCATGGAGCGCGTTAGGGAACGGGCATACTGTCCACGATTTCGTCGCCGCGATTTCATCGCCGGGGAAATTGATGGTTTGGGCGACGAGATCGCGACGATGAAGTCGTCCGTCGCGCGTGCATAGGCATAGTTGGTGCGATTGCGTGCACTCACACACATGAAATAATTTTTGCACGTACAGGACGCCATTTAAACGCCATTTCATCCTGCGCAGCCGTGTAGGCACTGACTCCTCAATGTTAACCCGCATGGTGACTCGCTTCTTTTTGTGCTGAGAACATTAGAAGTGTCATCGTCTTTTATCAAACATAGTGCTTTAATGGTGTGATCGAGCATCTTCAGCATAAGAAATCTTGCAAGTGACCGACAAGATACCTCGAAAGTTGCAAAGCCAATGTAAACGCCTAGTTAGTTTCATACTAAGACACAAAAACAATTGTTAAGTGCACTAGCAGGTGTCTTGATTTACACAAAGAATTTCAAATCTCTAAAATCTATCTTTTGAAAGCCTGCAAGATATTGAAAGACATCCAAAAAAGTTCTTCTCGTGAAACTCTCGATAAACTCGTTTGCAACTGCAGTTATTTTGCATGTCGCCCACGAAAAACATCAAAAAACGAACCAGTTTTTATTGATTTAGAAAACAGAAAACGACGACTAACACGACAGTTCATAATCATCATTACTTCAGAAGAGGTTTTCTTATTTTTCAAACAAAAACGAGGTGAAAGAATAATGCATGCGTACAAAAAACTCTCAAGATATCCCTCGCACCTCAGCGATATCGCCCAGTCGCCCGTGCAGCACGCGCGACGCGAAATCGCTGAGTTCGGCCGAAATCGCGGCGATTATCGCCGCAGAACTATGTTCTAGCTAAAAAGGGTCTGCGATCCGTCGCGCCGGACGAGTATCACAAGCGCCGTAGCAGACGTATAGACACACAACGAAAGCGTAACAATTGTCGTAATTCAGAAATCGCAGCGCGACGGTATCGTGGACACTATGCCCTAGGCCTTAAGTGAGAGCAGTGTGCGATAAGGCGACCGCTTCGCGAGACATATGCGCGGCTGCACGCCTGGGTCTGCTTCCGTTCAGAGCAAAGAGGGTGCTTCTTATACACCTGAAAATAGGGTATTACTTGGAAGCAAGAGGTGGCCTTATAGCGCGACCACGCTTTCGGAACAGGTTTTCTAAATTTTCTGATTTTTCTTTGGACGAAACCAATGAAATTGAAAGGCGTTCTAAACGACGATACAGCGTTGATTCACACAGAGAATAGTGGTTTTGCAGACAATTTTTTTCCGGAACAGGGTAAATTGCCGTGATTTTTTAGGGTGGCTCTATAGCTATGGTCAGCACTGTATGTGAAGCTAAATGCCAATTCGTTTCTACCTCTGCGTACAAGTCTGTGTGTACGTGTGGGCTGTATCACCCGGAATCGACTGGCATAGGGGTGATGCCGAACGAAAACATGGTGGGGGAGGGTACTGGCATGTAGAGGTGTTATGGGGACAGCAGTGGCGGACAAAAATAAACAAGTCATTTGCACATTTTTTTAACCTATGCATGTATGTTTCAAAAATTTCGCGACCCATTCTCGGGGGGGGGGGAGGCCTCCCCCGAGAATGGGTCGCCCTGAGGGACAAGGAGCGGTTGTATGGAACTAAGGCATGGAGATATTTATCATAGTGTAGTGCTCCCGTTCAGTTTTATAGACGAGAGGGGCACTGCTTGCTTGAGCTTGGAGTCACCTCATTCATCATGTTGCCCCTACTAGCTCCTACCTTCCATTTGGCAAATTTTCTACAAAAGGCAGCCTACAATGATGAGCTTGAAATCTACCTCGAATTTTCGCTTTAACCGTTAGCTTCCATGTTCTATCTAGGCGTGAACTAGAGGTGGTATATCACGATATAGAGCGTTACTCGCCGATAATGCTAATTATCTAAAAAAGCTGCCGTTTCAAAAATTATCAGAAAAATGTGAAAAATTGTGTAATAGGGTTTCCATGGGCGCTAAGTTAAATTCTCAATTATGTACAAGTTTACGAAGCTTTCTAAACGGTGTAACCGCAACTCTTGGGAACATTGGAAAAACGGCCGGTACTGCTTAATTCGCATAACTTTTCAATGAAGCATTATCAAACCGCAGAGGTCTTGATGGCTTTCATTGGAAAGAATGAAATTGTGAAAAGAGGAGTTTGCTGGAGGACTAACGGGCACATTCAAACAAATTGTAGTTTATCGCGGTCTCCTTTGTTGCGCTTCTTCACGAATCCTGATAAGGTAAAAATGCAAAAAGAAGCGTGCAGGAAACGTATAATAAAGCTATTGCAATATATAATAAAGCTTTTGCAAACTTTCCATACAGCTTTCGATGGAAAGCATTTTCGAACTTGTGTGATCAAGCTGGTAAACTCCTGTTTTATAAATATACAGGGTGTTCCAAAAAAATATGCTTACTGTTTGATTGTTGATAACTTTTTAATGAAGTCTCTCGAGAAGCTTTGGGTACCCTTTTGTAGAGCTGTCTTCAACTTAGATTTACAACATGGAGCGAATCGCTGATCGCTCTGTATTACTGTAGGATTACGGTAGGAACTTCATGCATATGGTGTCACTCTTAAAAAAGCTGCCGTTTCAAAAATTATCAGAAAAATGTGAAAAATTGTGTAATAGGGTTTCCATGGGCGCTAAGTTAAATTCTCAATTATGTACAAGTTTACGAAGCTTTCTAAACGGTGTAACCGCAACTCTTGGGAACATTGGAAAAACGGCCGGTACTGCTTAATTCGCATAACTTTTCAATGAAGCATTATCAAACCGCAGAGGTCTTGATGGCTTTCATTGGAAAGAATGAAATTGTGAAAAGAGGAGTTTGCTGGAGGACTAACGGGCACATTCAAACAAATTGTAGTTTATCGCGGTCTCCTTTGTTGCGCTTCTTCACGAATCCTGATAAGGTAAAAATGCAAAAAGAAGCGTGCAGGAAACGTATAATAAAGCTATTGCAATATATAATAAAGCTTTTGCAAACTTTCCATACAGCTTTCGATGGAAAGCATTTTCGAACTTGTGTGATCAAGCTGGTAAACTCCTGTTTTATAAATATACAGGGTGTTCCAAAAAAATATGCCTACTGTTTGATTGTTGATAACTTTTCAATGAAGTCTCTCGAGAAGCTTTGGGTACCCTTTTGTAGAGCTGTCTTCAACTTAGATTTACAACATGGAGCGAATCGCTGATCGCTCTGTATTACTGTAGGATTACGGTAGGAACTTCATGCATATGGTGTCACTCTTAAAAAAGCTGCCGTTTCAAAAATTATCAGAAAAATGTGAAAAATTGTGTAATAGGGTTTCCATGGGCGCTAATTCAAATTCTCAATTATGTACAAGATTACGAAGCTTTCTAAACGGTGTAACCGCAATCCTTGGGAACATTGGAAAAACGGCCGGTACTGCTTACCTCGCATAACTTTTCAATGAAGCATTATCAAATCGGCAACTCTAGTTAGCCCAGTGTGAAAGTTCAGGTTGTTTTGTTTGCTTTTTGAGGTAAAATATGGCCTTTCGTGGCTCAAAACCCTCTTCAAAGTTCCTACCGTAATCCTACAGTAGTGAAGGGCAATCGATGACTCGCTCCACTGAAAATCTAAGTTGAAGCCAGCTCTACAAGAGAGTGCGCAAAGTTTCTCGAAAGACTTTATCACAAATGAGCTATTAACAATCAAACAGTGAGCACATTTTTTGGGACACTCTGTATATAGCCTTGAATGATGGTACATATCTTGGTTGTACTACTTTAATGTGCTTTATCTTGCGTATATGCCTATAAATGAATGATATATATACCACTCTTCATCCAGGCATTAGCGGTCATTCGTGGATTTATGGTTACTACTTCCCCCCACTAGATGTCCCCGTGAGTGCATTTGCTTGATTGCTCTATAATGACATTAGCCAAATAATCTAATGGTAAACGAAGGCGAGTTTGCATAAGTTTATTTGCGGCTAAAAAAAGCGATCAGCTGCCCTAGAAAATCACTGAAAGCGTACTACAGATCCCTTCTACGGCTATGATTAACATTTTATCGCTGTTGTTATTCTGGCTCCAATGTTTTAGCAAAGGTGAGATTCACTAAGTTCAGCTATTGTCATTGTTTATTCTTCTAGGAAATGCCAACTACGCTTCCAAGGCCCACGAGGTTTTCGAGAAGATCTTCGTAGGGTATAATAGGCATATAAGACCAGTTCGAAATTTGTCTACAACTACAGTGGTTTTTATGGACAATGGCTTGCGATCCATCCTCCACACCGTCAGTCCTCCAACCACTCTGAAGGGAAGTTTGAACTACATATAAGTTAAGGATGAGGTTAACCAAGTGCTGGTGCTGAAGGAATGGTTGAGAATGTTTTGGCGAGACGAGTTCCTTACTTGGAACCCGGCCGACTACGACAATATCACCGAGATCAAAGTTCCACGAAGTTTGATTTGGCTGCCTGACGTTATAAGAATTGATGTGTAGGTTTTCCCGCAAAATGGGACAGTTGAAAATCTTCAATGATTTTGTAGGCTGGATCAATCCCAACTTATGGACGATGATCGCAGTTTTGTACTACTAGATCATACAGGCTTCATTAGACATTCAGTAGATCACGTGCTCAAAGTGTTTTGCAATTATAAAATCACTATGTAAAGCCATTTTGCAAAACCTGCCAGAGATCGTCCATTTGCAAACTTTTCAGGTTTCCTTTTGATCATCAAAACTGCACAATTCACTATGAGCCATGGCATTCCACTCTAAAGGAGGTTTTTATCGAAGTGCATCCAGAACCTGACATCAATAATTACCGTCCCAGCAATGGTAATTCTTTATTCTTCTTTCTAGATCGCCTTATTTCAATTAACTCTTACTCAAACAACGATCTTACTTTGGCTTTTGAAACTACCAACTGAAAGAAGAAGCTAGAAAAGAGTAGATGGATACGTTTCCGCGCACCTACAGGAAAGCATATTTCAGAATGGGACCTTATCTCCTACAAATCCCGAACAGGCATTGGTTCATACCCTCCTATTCTATCCGACTCCACCTCTCGTGCTTATTATGATATTGTTATCAAGAGAAGGTAAGACTCTCAGATTCAAAACTATATTATTCAGGTTTTGGAAATGTTTTGGAATCCTGTCGAGTTCTTTGCAAGCTTGTTGATAAGCATTTTACAAATTGTTAATTGCTACGAAGTTTGAATTTACTGCAGTCTTTACAAGAAAACTAAAGTAATTTTGATTGTTTGGAAACTCCGAAAAATTTAGCTTAAGATTGCACAAGGCTGCCCCTTGCTCAATGATAGAATTGTTCCGTAACTAACTGACATGAGGGTGTTGGATCAAAAAATTAAGCCATTTTTTACTGCTCAGCAGTTTCTTCAAAGCAAAATCCGATTCGAAGTTGAAGCCACTTTCAGCAAAGAGTGAAGTTTTGGTGAAATTAGCAAAATGAATGCATTAAAAGCATTTCCTGGGCTAAAATCGATGCTTACTCGAAAGTGTGCTCCTCTCGTAAGTTTACCGGCTGTAATGTAAGTCCAAACAAATTCGCTTTCAGAAAAAATAAAGAGGAACTTCGAAGGTGCAAAAGCGCCAAAAACGATCAGCTTTTGGGAATTTATTTCCAGCATAGTCACAGAAGAATTTCAGGTACTTTTCCGATCCGGACCCATTTTTCAAAAAAAAAAAGACATTTGCTTCTAACCCTGTGCCAAATTTGGTAAAAACTTTACAGGATGAAGAGTCAACCTCCTGCCTCGTGTAAAAAAATTGACATGTTGTCTATGTATCTAACAGGTTTTGAGAATTGTTTGCTTAGCCTATCTATCATTGTAAGTTTAATTCCTTTTTTATTCAATTTTGAACCATTTTCAGTCCAAATTTCATGAATGAGCTTCAACATTATGAAATTGACATTTTGTGTTCGATAAACAAGTTAGGTTTTTTCCAAAACAGAGAAGCGAGTTATTGTTTTGTCATCTAAACCGGAAACAGTCGGCAGTCAGGTATACTTCAAGCCTTCACTTACATTCTTTTCCAACTATTAGGCTGTCCCAAAAGTAAACCGTATTTTTAAATTAAATCAAGGTGTTTTTGTTTTCGTGGCAGACTTCGGGTACCTCATTATACAGTAGACACATAGTAGTACTCAAATATGCCTTTATTGGTTTTTTCTAAGCATAGAAATCGAGAAAAAAGAGATAGTCTGAAAATGGCAAACTCCGCCCCCAGCCCCTCCCACATATGTCATTGTATACTACAAGCCTTGCTAATTATAATCTTAAAACTTTATCTTTGTAGGTGCCCTTATAATTGAGAAATACCAAGTTTTACATGGAAAACCCGAAAAAAGTGGCATTTTGGCATTTTGGGACCATTTCTATTTCTCAATTTTGAGCTTCGGAAAAAATCAACCAAAAACATTTTTCGGTACTATTATGTGTCTATTATATAAGCACCAAGTTGGAAGTCCATAGGAATTTTCTGGAAAGAGATTCGATTTTCAAGGCTAGCTTAAAAATTTTGATTTTTGGGTCCTAATTATACCTGAATCGCGACTTAGATGTTCCGTGATGGTCATTTTGTAAAGCTTGCTTCGCTCTATCGAATGGTGCCCCAAGCCTGCCAGAAAAATAAGTACAATTTGATTTATTCAGAAATACGGTTTATTTTTGGGACACCCTAAAAATTTCGCACGGCGAAAACAATGTAAAGAGCAGGATTTTTTGAAGTAAATGCTGGAAGTACCAGGATATTTTAACAGACATTCGAATCTGTTTCGCTTTTATAGGACGTCCCTAAACAGCTTTCGCGTTTCAAATGCTCTCGTACCAGGCCGGAAATAATTTTGAATAAATATGTCAAACTGTCCCCAAACGTGTTAATTTTCATCTTGACAGGTGGCAAGGAGACAGTCCTCACTAGATCTATGAGACAAAATTTCAGACTGAAGCACGTATTTCATAAGAACATTTTCAAAAGAGTTCGGATAACGGAAAAGTACCGAATTCTCTAACTGTACTCACAAGCGTCCTTTCATTACCTGCATTTCCACCTTTACATTTCAGACCTCACTATTATGTAGCGTGCTTCATGCTGCCATGTTTTATTATCATGGAACTTTCATTACTTGGTGAGCAACCATACAGTCACGCAAGATTTTTTCAGAGAAGTTTGCGTCACAATGCTTTGAATTTCAGGTCTTTTTTCTCTTTCCAACGATAGTGGCGAACATAACGAAAAGGTAACGATGGGACTCACGAGTTTGCTTTCGATGTCAGTTCTGCTACTAATGATCTCGGATAATTGGCCCAAGACCAATGAGGGTTTGCCGCTTTTGGGTGAGCATATATAAGAATAATGGGTTTTGTGAGTAGTAGCGGGAAGGGAATAGAAAACTCCTGATTCACAGAGAAGAATTTTTAAATTCCACTTGAAAATAATCATTCTTGAATGGATACGTCAGCTACCAAAAGCTATTAATTTGATAACATGTCACTGTTGCATCGACTAAAACATTCAAATTAAAGATTAGTATTTAAGTTCCGCAAAAAGACATCTTATTGACAGATTGAGTAATGATTTGTAGTCCTATAGTCATTTTAATTTCTCATTTAGGGTTTTTCGTTCTCATGGAAATTCTTATTGGAGCGTTAGCAACCGCAACAACGGTCTACGTATCACATCTGCAGAGTAAACAGATTTAGCGAAATTATTCGAAATTATTGAATTATAATTATTAAACTATTTGATTGGAAGTCCGTATTTCAAGGCAGCTGGCGCCATGACAAAAAGGTACCAGATTGGCTTTTGGCACTGGGCCACTTTCAAATCTTTGCGGGAAGATTGCAGAAGCATACGGATTCGGAGAATTTTTCAGAAGATTTCTGTCATACTGATTCGCTTCTTAAAAGGGTGAGCAGTTCTAACAACCCAGCATTCAACTTATCACGCTTATTCGTGGTAAGCGATGACATGAAACGTTGAAAAACAATCTTCCTGGAACTATTTGCTTGAGAAGGTAGAAAAAGAATTAGTACTCCACTCATATCTATAAGTTTTTTAGAATCATGAACCACCAAGAGTTGACATTTTTGATCATTTTCTCACTAATCGTTGACATGAACCTTCAAAATCAAGAAAGAAAGGATTTCTGGAAACAAAAAGGAAAGAAGTCAGTAGCATTTAGAGACAGAAACGAATTCTTCAGCAAAATACCAGTTTGGGTAAGAAAATAGCCACGAATCTGCAAAACATAGTAAAACTGCGTTTTCGGTGGAAACATTTCATCATCAATCACCACAATGTTCCAGACTCGATTGTTTCTATAAAAAGAATTTACACTCTTTTGTTTGAACAAGAGTATCCAGTCACAATTCTTCATTGATTGCAGGACCCCATTGCAAGAAGTCAGATACTTGCACGAATTGGCAATTTTGAACAAAACGTGAGCTTAATTTTAAAGAACCTGCAAAAGTAAGTTCTTTTCCATTGAATTCTTACTTATATCTCCAAATCTCCAACAAACCCCCCTTTACCCCTGCAATTTTAGGAAAGCAGCCCAGAAACGCCTACTCAGACATTCGCGGTTGTCACCCGCAGGTTAAAATGGTGTGATCTCATTGACCAACGGCGCGTCACACGAAATCGGTGTCGGGGCAAAATCAGGTCACCTGTGTTTGCAGCGGGGTGACCTGCGGGAGACACCATAATGCCCCGACAGGGCATTCTCCGGTCATTATCAGAGTGACCTGCGGAGACACCATAATGCCCCGATCCTTAAAGCAGCGGTTCACCCTGATGGGTACATATATAGTGGTATATATATATATATATTAATATTAAGTATATAGTGGAACACACAAGTATAGAGTACATACTCTATACTGGTGTGTTTCACATCTACCGCGCTGTCATCTTTCACAGTCTCTAACAAATCAAGCCATAATATTTATTAAAAACTTCATGGTACAGAAAAATCTACATCAGCGCAAAATCAAATAAAACATCGAGAGAACACTTGACAAAAAACAACTGGAATTGGACTAATTTGTGTCGTTCGCATCGGTTACTGCAATGTTGGCGTCCGTTTTTTCGATGATGTTCAAGTCAGTGCTCAAGTTAGATGTCCTGGGCCGGTTCTGAAAAACATCAGTATCAGATGCGTAAACTTTTTGAGACGAAAGTTTTACCTATGACGCCTTTGTCGCATTCTTGTGCAAATTGTAGAAGTTCTTTGTCCGGTAGGCCAAAAGCGTCCAATACAAACCCTGAATAAATTATTCGAATTGATGTACAAAAAGACGGAACAACCTACTTATTAGGAAATCCACAGTGCTTTCCGGAAGATCCTTGAATGGTCATTTTTTTTCGTTTTTTGCCAGTTTGCCTACATGCATACTTTTGAGTTCCTCTGCCGGTTCACAAGTCCAAAAAATTATGTGTAAGGCAAGAATTCGTTTAGCAGTAATCCCTTGCATTGACGAAATAGTGCCTAAGAAAATCAAAAACATGATGAAAATGCAGAAAATGATGGCGGCGTGGCAGGAGTTCCCAAGGCCCAGCCGCTTTTTCTCGCAGGGGTACTTGGCACCTCCAGAAATCCCTTAAAGGACATCACACCTTCTCGGGGGCAAAGGGCGGCTCCGCCCATCACTCCTCCCTCCAGCTGGCCTCATTATGAATGTGTACACGTAGTATAAGACGTTTAATGTTTTCGAAGATGATAGCACGGAATCGAGAAAAAAAAGTTCTTTAGGTTAAGCGCTTAGGATTCGTACATGACATGCAGCTGGATTTCCAGCATTTCGAGCTACCTTTTACACACGTTTTCGAATAAAATGACGCTCCCTCAAAATTTTGTAAGTGCTCGCGCTTGAGTAGGTTTGTGAAACATATCGTATTGATATAAATCAAGCAGAAGTTATGACTATTCCAATCACGGTATAGATGAGAGAAGTTAGTCAATTACACGCAAGTATTAAAGTCCATCTAAGAATTATAGCAAATTAAAATATCTTGCAAATATCGTGTCGTATTCGGAAATCCTAGCCAGCTCTTCACACATGTAACCGAAGTTTGGTATTCTAGCACATGGAAATACTACACTCAAAAATTGGTTTCTGATAATTCTGATAATTAAAATCTTACTGATCATTGGAGTAACTGGAATGAAAAACTCATTGAAATACATACATGATGGCAAACGAAAGTAGGAAAGTATATATGTTCATTACCCTAACTACCGGAAAAAGCTTTGACTGCTTATTCGGAAATTTTATGTACTTCTTTCAAATTAGATAATTCTAATGTTAGGTAATAGGGTTCTACGCTAATTCTGGTCACTCAGTTTTCAACTCCTGTTTGAATTACTTCAATCAAATGACCAGGAATTTACAATTGATCAACTAGATTCTCTGATATTTCGAATGACCGGATTTTCATATAAAAAAATTCTGTGCGATTTATCTTCTGAAAATAATGTTCATATGCTCATTTTTGAAAGGATGGTGTAGCAGAAGTTTCAATTGAGAAATGATAACTATGTTCTTCGTTTTTTCTCCATTTTTCTTCCCTTATTACTTCAATACTGAGTCTGTGCTCTCGCTGCTTGCACACCTTACAATGGGACCAGTAAATGGGTGGAGCAATGGGAGTGGCCTGACCTCTGAAGCGCGGAGGTGCTGGAACCCCTTCGGGTGCGAATGCTGGTGCGAACTTGGTGCGAGGAAAGGTGCTAGGAACTCCTGCACGCCCTCCGAAAATGATCATGTTTATATGCGCAAGCCGATCTCTTCCGTTTTAAGATTTCAGTCAAATTCAGCTCCTAAAAATACGATGCCTTTCGTTAATTCATTTCATACTCAAAAACCTCAATCGGGCTGGGTTTTAAAAAGCAGACTTTCTTTTTTCGGTTATACAGACAAGAGCAATTGTGGGACTATGATTGAGCGAGTTAGAAAGCTGAATATCATTTTTTCCGTGTTTGAAAGATGGGTTTTGACAACTGCGATTTCTTCTTTTCGGTGTGGATGGGTGCCTCATCATGCCAAAATTCAAACAGCTTCTGATAGTCGTTAATTTCGAAAAATTGCGATTTTCGGGTTACAGCGGCTGGTTAATTAAAATTTGAGCTAGATCACTTCTAAGTAAGGAACGAAGTTAGAAAAGACCACAGTGGAACAAAAGAATGTGGAGAAGACGACTACCATCGAATGTATAAAATAGAACAAAGAATGGATTTTTGGCAGCCCATCAAACTTCATGTGAGCCATATTTGAACAAGCAGGATTTCGCCTTCTAACTCGCCCATTCTTGATCCCACGAATTCTCTTTCTGGTCTATCTGCGAGAAAAAAAACCCCTCTTTCGAATACGGACCACAGACTTGCCAAAAAGTGACCCAACGAGAGCCGTGGACGAAAGTCCGCAAAAACCATTGCATGCATTGTGGAAATTTCTCTGAAGAGAATAAATTCTCTTATCAAGGCCGGAAGCCAGAGCCATAGCTGGTAATTTGACTAGGTATGGCTTTGCAGACGGGAAATCAAAGATCTGATGGGGTACGGGTACCAAACGTGCATTTTGCACCCAGATTTAGCTCTTTGTTTCCTGCATGAAAATAAATTTGAGTAAATTTTTTTTTACACAGCAGCAGTCCATATACGGCTGGAGCCGGTCTTACTTCTGTGAAACTGCGGAAACAAGCTATGGAAAAGCCCATTCTGCAGGAGAAATTTTCTTATAAAAACACATTTTCGCACTATGACAATACTTCGGGCGCTAAACTGTTTTTTTTTTTGCTGGAAAAGTATTGTGTCATAAGGATTTTCTCGTAAAATAACGTTTTCGCAAATTTTTGTTCTGCACGTGTCAGCTTGAAGATACCCACAATAAGTAACGGATAGTATAAGTTACATGTTTTGACAGATTCTAGCTAGCTAGCGACGCCTCAACGGTTTGTTGAACCCGACACAAGATTACGGTATTTCAAGTTTGTTTAAGCTTGTAATTGGCTTGAAACTTAGTAAAATCAGGCTTGTGGTTAACAATTTGAGTCTAAGCTCACAAAATTGCACTCCGCAAATTTGCTGAGTTGGAAGGAGTCCTGAAGTAACCTACTGAATTGAGAAGAAAATGCTTAGGGTGCCTTCATACCGCGCCGGCAGCCGCCGCTAGCAGCCCGTAGCAGCCGCCAGCAGCCCGCAGCAGCCCGTAGCAGCCCATAGCAGCCCGTAGCCGCCGCTAGCCGCTTTTGTCATACAAGCGCAAAATCACCAAAATCTATTTTAAATGCAACCGCCCATGCCCTCCATCCTCCACGTTTTTTCCTCCCTGTTGCCGCAATTTAATTTCATATATCATCATACTTGGTCCATTGTTGTTATTATCTTGTTACCGTAGATTGATTATCCTACTGATGCTCAGTTTCCCTCTCACAAATGAACCATTTTCGCCAGAGTTTCTTCGCGATGTGATTTCTTCTGACTTTGGATGCGTCCAGTTCCTGCAGGTTGCTATTCGTTAATTTTTAGGATGTTCTGCTTCAGTCATATCACATCGGCGTGGAAGAGGGAAAGTGTGGGCAGGCGCACGCAAAGTACTAAGAATTTGATGATTTTCGCTTCCATGACAAAAGCGGCCAGCGGCGGCTACGGGCTGCTGGTGGCTGCTACGGGCTGCTGGCGGCTGCTACGGGCTGCTGGCGGCTGCTACGGGCTGCTGGCGGCTGCTGCGGGCTGCTACTGGCTGCCAACGGCGACGCGCGATCTCATCTGAACTGACAAATCGATGTCCTACGGAAACGGTGACCTCACTTTTATTGATGTGCTGGTAAAATTAAGGAAAAATAATAAGCGAATTTGAATCAAAAGGCACATGTATGATTAAGATAGAGTAGGTCTGGTATAATGACAAGTTTATGTTATGAAAGAACACAAATGATCCCAAGGAGCGATTATAAGCGATGTATAAGAAAGAATGAAAGCAAAAACATTGAAGAAAAAGGCACCAATCAACAAAAAGCAATCACCAAGAGAAGACGACTACTTCGCAACATCACTATCATACACGCATGCGGCGTGCATTGGGGCAAAATCGCGGTAAAATCCGGTCAAAACTAAATTCATGTCTCCCGACGGTGCACCGGGTTTTGGTGCGATCAGCCATTTTGTGGGCGGTCCACCTGCAGGTGACAACGGCGAATGTCTGACGTATGCGATGGGTTCATGTTTGCGAAAGAATTGATTGTTTACTTCTCGTCGTTTTCCTCACAGCTAATACATTCTTTTTCGTATCTATCTTATGACTGGATATCTTTCAAATTGAAATCTTATTGTAACCGTCTGTCCCATATGGCTTTCATTATTCTGAAATAAATCGTCAACAAGTGCCTACTATGCATGGAAGTGGGAACTCGACAGTGGTTTTTTTCAAGCTAAATAAAGGCCTAAGAAATTTCAGCCGAACTATCGCGTTCTATTCATTTTAGGGGGAAAGCAGCATTTTAGATCATGGTGGTTAACGCACTGCCAAGCGCTCAGAGGTTGAGCGTTTTTCAGCACTATTGAAAATTAACACAAAACATAGTAAAGGGAGCTTTTTGTTGTGTATGCCCTCAAGTATCTTTAGATCACATTGCAAGCGCTAGGAGAAAAATTTTCTTAAAAAAATGTGGCCTGGTAATAAATCAAAGCCAGAGATACAGTATGAAAGTTCTATTTTGCAGCTGCATAAAGTTTAGTAACTGAGCTTACTATGGTTGACGCACGCATAATTAGCTGGAGAGTATGTGCTGTTACAAAACGTTGAGAATAATAGATATTCTCAGTAATTTTGAGAGAAGAGCGCTGTCAATTTAGGTGTGGCTTCAAATTCTGGAATGGGTCAAAGAGTATGTACAGGATAGAATAAGTAGTGAATAAAAGCGGTGTGATTGGTCGAACAGATTACAACCCAAATTTAAGAAGCGATCACAAATATGATTTGTGTTTCTGGAGGATTTATATCTTTACCGAGATTACTTTCAAACTATTAGGATGATCAGAAAGTAGTGAGACACTTTGATATAACTGTCAGGATAACGGTTCGCGAGTCCTTTACCTGATGTGTAGCGGGTTACATTAGTCTTACTATAATCTTTATTATACAAACTATATACAAAAGGGGAAAGGGAAAGGGGGAAGAGGGAACCGTCTCCTGACGGCGGGCGGAGGTCACTGCCAGAGTTTCGTTATCTTAGGCCAACCTCCATCGCGAGCAGCTGTTGGGTAATAGCTGCGTCCCGACATCTCCATTCCTTCAGAAAGCTCGTCCTCGAGCTTGTTTGGCTGTTGTTGAATGTCTTCCGAGTAACGTGTGTAAGGAGTACACGTGATACGGCGAGACCATAAGGAACTTCGACTTCGGTACCATTCTCCTCAGATTCATCGATCGAGTAGGGAATTTGGTTCAGGCGAGCTGGATAACCAACTAACGACCTTCACCTCATCCTGGGGGGTACTGAGTAAGCTTGTCCTCAAGCTGAGAGATATACGAAAATGAAGGATGTGGCGCTGGGAACTGCTTGAAAGGCAGTGACATGTAGTTGCATGGTGATAAGACATACTTTCGACACTGTGGTTGTAGGTTGAGATTTGTAGAAGTTTGATGGTCGACTGGATTGTATAAGAGTAGTAGGTGGAAATCGGTTGAGGAAAGTTTTGTTATTGAACATGATAATACAAAAAAAACTTGGTGAGCAGAAAATACATACTTAACAAAGTATTGGGTGATATTCGATGACATTAGTAATTCTGAAGTTACATTTAACATAAATTAGTTAACCGACATGTTGAGTTTTGAACGATGTGATGATAAGAGAGTAATTTGAACCAAATGACATATAGTTATACAGCATAAAAATAATGCGATTGTTTACCTAACGAAGAGGAATATATGTTTAATCAAGCACAACAAACTGCGTTTGATTCAACATAGTGGCAAATTTTGAGTGTTAGAAAAATGTGGATTTTTTTTCGCTGCCTAGTGTGAAATATTTTTCATTCTTTGAATTGCCGGTTCAAAGATTTTCATGCATATAGATAGACGCAGCGGTGCGGCAAAATAAATGTAAACAAACTTACGTCGGGAAACATTGCGAAAACCAAAAAAATGCGGTTAATCAGATCTTTTGAACTGAGTTGCTTTAGAAAATTGTCCTGTGGTTTTAAAACCAATTTCAGGATTACAATCATTGACAATACAAACATATTATCGTTCGTCTTCTGATGTTTCCTTTTTTTTCAAAAAAATTTTTTTTGATATTAAGTTTTGGAAGCATTAGCCGATAATCGACATTTACAGAGTGGAAATGCAGATCGAATTGTACAGCTTGAATTGAACACAAGAATAATGTTAACATAGAAATACTCTACCAGAACGCTTCCGCTGCAAAAACTACGATATTTAGATTAGGACATAAGCATGAGAACTTCATGATCTTAACATATGGTAATTCATTACTGATGTTCAACGTTGGAAGCTGTCTACGTTTTCTCAATGTCCAAATCCAATATAGAAAATCTCATAGAATGAATGTTCCTGAATTCTGCTGAAATCTGTAAAGCAATCATTACCATCGTTTTCTAGAGGAAAAAACTAGGACTGGATGACGTGAAACGCTCTAAACAGTTTCTTTTTCATAAAAATGAATTTCACTGCGACAAAAAAAAATTATGCTTCATGTCAGCTTCGGCTGATCACCTTTCAAAAAAAAAAATGCGGTCACTGCTTCCGATCAGAATTTCAATCTGGATATCTCAACATTCAGAAGCACTGAGGATTTTTTTTGTTTTGGCAAACGCAAGCAAGTTATTTCTTCTGTGAAGCGTTTCGAAAGAGAATTGTTCTCTGAAAACAATCTCCATTCAGCTACAAGCAATATTCTCTGAAAATGTTTTTAATTGTAGTTCTGAATGCTACGTTTAAGAACGTGATGCAGACTTGGTTTGTGCAATTGCACGAAACTGGAGAAACTGCTTTTTCCATTGTTGTAACCAATAGTTTGTCCAACATCCGAATCTAATTCAGCGCATTATTTTAAACATTGTTGGAGCCAAACTTTGACACTTAACGAGCATCTTTTTTTTTAGAAGTGTACTTCCGCAAGGACATATACTGGAGAGTTGCAACATTCAAAGCGACCTGAATTACTTGTGATTTTTTTTGAAAGTATTTGTTTGGGAAATTGGGAAAATTTGAAAAGAATTTTGATTATTTGAAAGATTGAGGAAAGTTCGAAAAGAATTGTAATTATGCATGTTTTCCTTGATTTGCGCAAACCAACAAAAACTGCAGTGGAAATTATTCCAAGGTGTTTTGTTTTATTCTCAATTTTCCCTAACAAACACATAACATTGGCTCTCGATCTACAAACTATGGAGACCAAAGCTTGATCAGAGCTGTTGGAAATCCTTGTCGTTGAGTTCAAGAGAACATACAAAAATATCTTTTGTGATTCTAAGTACGTTTTTTTAGTTACTAAACAGCATTATTATCACACAAATAAAATTGCAGAGCAACTCATCCCTATTACTCTACACCTCAATTGTGATTTGTCAATGGAATTTGTACACGATGACCAACAAGTTTGGCGGAGCAAAATTTTCGCGCTGTTTGTACGGAACTAAAGTGTGATGCGCAGACGAGCTGCACGAGGAATGTCGTGTGAAGCTCTCATCAACCATTATCAAATGTGCAGCAACTTAAACAGCAAAATAATTTAGTGGTCTCTGTGCTTCAAAGCAATTGCCGGTTCGAAATAGAAATAAAATCATCAATACTCAAGAAAGAATTGTCCCATCATTTAGATTTGCTCATTTCAGACTCCGAAAGCACCTACACAAGAGCGAATGATGCTTGTTAAAAACGCAGCGCATGGAAACTTTAAGCTAAACGGATTTGCTACGCCGGTATAGATGAAAGCAAATTGTGCAAAGTCCACTACTTATCAAATATTTCGTGCACGAGGAAAACATTGTGATTTAATTGAATTTCATGAAGGACCAACTGCAAGGAAAATTGCCAAGCAAAGATGGAATTGAATTGGTTTTACTATATTAGCTAATGGCTTTCAAAATTTCGTATAGAGATAATTCATTTAGAGTAAGCAAAACTGCAAAGAAAAATTTTTTTTATTGTCACAAAGAGCAAATTCTCCTTATAGGTTGAAACATCACCGTAAGGTATCCATGGTTTCAAATTAGCGTAAGTTTGTAAGTAAGAGCGATGTGATCTGTGGTGGATTTCAGTATGAAACAAAGTATTTTCGGAATTTTATTTTTTTGAGATGGATCAGTATTCAATTGCGAAGTATTTCTTAAAGCTACTTATGTAATTTGAATGACCCAGATCTACATTTTTTAAAAGTCCAGAACAAAACAGAGATTTGTTTTATAGTGGAGACCGACAACTTGACTTTTCGCTAACGAAGGGAAGGACGACTATGCAGCAGCAGCTTTATGTAACATCAAATTATTGTCAATAATTTCCTATGGAGACATCGTGATTTCCCTTGAGAAATGATTTGTTTTACTAAGATTGCAAACTTATTCTGAGAGTAGGTTTTAAATTAGATCTTGCAATTCGAAGTTGCTTTTGTTTGCGGTAGATTCCCTAATTCGGAAAAAAAAATTTTTTTTGGAAAAGTTTTACTGTAAAATTTTTTTTCTCAAAATGAATAGAAATTGCGAGAACTATAGTTTTATTACAATTTGAATCCGGACTTCAAAAAATGTTTTTTTTTTTGAAGTTCATGAAAAGTTTCAATGCGTTGAAAACCTTGCCGAAATTTGTACATTGTCACAAAAAATTTTTCTCTGAAAACCTTTTGATCCATCACTAGACAATATGTGAACATACTGCGTATTCAGAGTATGTAAAACAGTGCCAAGCGATCTTATATTGCTAGGTCACATAGTAACCGTGTACATCGCATACTTCATACTTCGTACCAACGTAATTTTTTTTACGAAAGGAAAGCACCTGTTTCTGCCAGTAGAATGGAATTTAAGAAAAATAATTTTTTTAAAGAAGAATATTGGACTATGACACATACGCTTCGTGGAGGTGATCTTTTGACATAGTATGCATACCGCCGAAATCACCGAATACGCGTTGATGCTTACGTTTATATGAGCAATGTTGCTCTCCTATTGGCATATGCTTTTTTTCAATCAAATACTGCCAAAAACTCGTTTTTTTACGAAAAGAAAAATCTTCAAATAGAGCTAAGCGAAAGTGTTCGGTTATGAAAAAAAATCTCGAAGGTGCTTCTGAGTAGACTACGTATGAGCAAGTAACATAACTTTTTGATTGAAGGATCTCATGTTCTAGTGTGTTAATAATTCTTACTTATCAAAGCTTATTCTTTCTCTGAATGTCTTTCCCGTAAAATATCTAAGATTTTCTTATTAGTTGCGAAATTATACCAGAATTTAATGTAGTAGATGTTTTCGCCAAGCCCAGATAGTACGGTGAATCTTTATTTGACCTAACGTTTCGACAAGGTCGTCTTCTTCGGAGGTCTGAAAGATGATTGCAGTCTCAACCTATGAAACTACGCCGCCAAACGCCATCTCCGTACTTATCGAGTCTAGACCTCGTCTCATGCACAACGTACAGAGAGGCATGTTGGCAGAAGAGACCGACCGTTGATCCACCGTGGTAAGGATGTTAGTAGTCCGCAGGAAGTAGCGGACGATAGCCGCAGATGTTGAAGACGGGCGACACTGAGTGTCACTCGGTGTGTCACGTCTATATATATGGCAGGCTACTGTTCACATAGTGATAGAAAGGGCAAAAGATCATTTGTCATTGATAGGCATTCATTTTTGTTGTTCATGCTTGGGCTCTTCATAGAGATCCACAAAGCTTCTAGTATCTTTCGTGCAGAAATTTCTGTCTCGTACGCCAAGATAAAACATTTGACCTCGAAATCAGTTCCGCCATGTGCTTCAACTCTGTGTTTTCCCAACGGCGATACTAAATTCCCTCGTCTTTTGTTCGCTAAGTGCTCTTTGATTCTGATGTTTAGTGCTCTGCCCGTCTCACCTATATAGAAAGCCTTGCAACTCAAACATTCTAGTTGGTATATGACCCCTGACTTCGCGCAATCTCCTACCTTTCCATACGGGCAAACAATGCATTGCTCTGATAAGCATTCTGTATCGTATATCCTGTTTCGCACCAACTGCCTCCTGATGTTATCGTTCGGGATGTTTACCAGTACAACCTCATTCTGCAATTGTGCTCGCGCAATGCATTGTTTCAAAGCTGCACTCATTTCATCGGAGATGAAAGGTATGCAAAGTGGGGCTCTCTTGTCGGTACGTGCAGTTCGACTATATAAACCAGATCGTGGACGTCTAGCGTTATTCGGATCTGTGTAGCCGTTGCTGCGCGCAATCGTTGTATCCAACCTAGTAGATGCAAGTCGTTCTTCTACGCCAGTGCTAACTTCTACAGCTGTTCTGTACATGTTCTTAATAATTGCACGTTTCGTTGCTGTAGGGTGCGCTGATTTTGCATGTATTATGATATTCTTTGAGCTTACTTTCCTGTACCACTTCATCCGAATTCTACCACCAGATAAGTTTATCTGGGTGTTCAGGAAAGGAAGCCACCCATCCGTCGGGGTTTCTCTGGTAAACCTAATGTACTGTGATTGCTGGTTCA